GGTTAAATGAAAAAACAATAAGGCTTTGTGATCAAAAAATTGTACAATTCATTAGAATCAAATGTTATAAATCGTGATCAATAATTAGCATTTTAGTTCTGAATTATTAGTAAAATTTCAATATGATATATTATTATCTTAGAATGAAATGAATGATAATATCATCAATTATTGTAAAACAAAAATATTATTTATGAAAATTATTTGAGTATGATAATATTTAAATTTGAAAAAATTGGAACAGGATTTTAGCAGTTAAAAATAGCTTTGTTTGTTATCAAATTTTTTAAATAATAATAATAGCAGAATAGCATTTTTTATTTAAATATTAAAATTTTTGAAATAATATAACCAAAGAGAAGAATAGAAAAAAGGATAAGGTTAGTGACAGTTACCATTATATGAATTTCAATCGCATTGAAAAAAATCTGTATTTTTCAAAAGGTAAGAAAAGAATGAAATTTCTCAGGAAGTGTTTTATTCAAGATTAAATGAAATAATAGTTCATGGAATATTCATTTTCTTAGATTTATGGAAAAAAGTGTTTGAAAAAATTTCATTTTAAATTTAAAGTATATTTTTTTATTCTTTGAGAGTGCTCTTTTATACAAATTTCATGGAAATTTTTGAAGCCAAAAATAGAAATGATGTAGGTTAAAGCAAAAGAAAGTGCGCAGCTAAATAAATGATAGGAAGAGAACAAAATAAATTATAATTAATTTGATAATTAATGAAGTATTCGAAATTACTGTATGAATCGTCAAATTATGAAAAAAGTATTATTATATCTCTAAAAGTAAAACTACATTAAAAGAAGGAATTCAAAAATTATTTAGAATTTTAAAATCAATTTTTAAAACAAATTTTTAATATCTTTAATTGTGATAAAATAGTTGCAAGCAACGGACAAAAAAAGTTCGTCTCCTTAGCATTTTTCTCTAATTTCGTACTATAATTATTTCAATTTAATTACCATTTCTCAGTTAAAGTTTGCAATTTGTCTTTCATCAATCATACACTGCAAAATATGCATTTTTCTCTTTTTTATTTGTTTTACAATTAGTAATAATACGTTGAAATCGATCATTAATTATATTAGTGAAGAAAGAATAAAAATTTTAACCTGTCCAGTTGCTCCAATACATAAAACTATTATTGATGCTGTGATAACAATAATATCTGAAAAAATTCATTTGAAAAATTACTGAATCCTTTATTTCTCTTCTCTAAAACCTAAAAGTCTTGAGAAAAAAACTTTTAGAATTGATACATACATAATTTTATCAATATTAGGAAAAAATTCAAAAAAGAAAAATTATATATTTTTCATGCTTAGTCAATATTTTTATTGTTATCTTTAAACGCTACGGCAATATATGTTCGTGTTTTTTTTTGTTACATGGATATGGTAATGTTCAAGTGATACCGTAATATGATACAGTAGGGCAGCTTAAGTGATACCGTAATACTATGATATGATAATAACAGGTTGTTCAAGTGGTATCGTAATATTATAATACGATAATAGCAGATTAAGCGATACCGTAATATTGTAATATTATAACATGATAGCAGATATTCTTAACTAATATAATGATTATTATTGTTATAGTTCTAATTAAGCACTAACCAATAATACAATAAGCAGAGGTAGCGAAACGTATACGGCCTGATAGTCCACGATAACGTGAACGACAACCGGATGACCAAACTCGAAATATATATTCCATTGCTAACCAAAATACAAATACAATCTCCTGAACATTTTTTATTAAATATTTAAATATATATCGCTTTATGGTACGTTTATAAAATGATAAGATGAAAATACAAAAATTTGAGTCCAATTAATTACCTTTTCATTAAGTATTTGATTATTTATAGTTATCATTTTACGTTATATTTATCGATAATTATAAATATATGCTGTCAATTATAAATATATAACAATTCAAATCAATTATTTTTTGTAAAGCATAATGTTAATTAATATAATTTTATGTAATTCTTATCACCTTTACGATGCATGATAAAATAAATTTAAAAATTTTCATTTAAATTTGTTTTTGCTTCCAAGGAAAACATTCTACAGTCAAAATAGTGAAAAAGAAAGACAGAAAAATTTCTCATTTCAAATTATAAATTTATTTGTTTTATAATAGAGTAATTAGGAGAAAAAATGGACCAGTTCATTGAATTAATAAATTTTATGCAAAAAATTTTATTTTAAAGTTTGAAAAAGACGAAGAAGAAGCGTACAATATAGTAAAGAATTAAAGTTGCTTGCTCTTCAAAATCGGGCATCGTTGAGAAGACACTTAGCGCGAGACACATTAATACCATTATAAGCCTGAAATGGATGTATGAAATTATTAATAATGAGTTAATTTGAATAATTATAACAGTTATTTTGTTTTTTGATGATTATTCATTTGGAGAAATAAATATGTGCTAATTTCATATTCATTATTGAAATTTGATTTTGCCAAAGTTTTGCGCAATATTTGAAGGCTATTAATAACAGACAAAATAGTATGCAAAATCACAAAAAGAAGTAGTCCGGATTTGAATTGTACTGTACTCTGAATTATATCAAAATTAAAATTGTTAAAATTGCGTTAATTAAATCACTGAATAAGTTTAAAGATTATTATAAGATGAAAACCTACACAGCAAGATGATAACCAGCGGCTTTCCAACCACGTGGTCGTTCCAGAAAATTATGCACCTTACTTTGAATTCGTCGAAATCTCTGATCGGTGCTATAATTTTTATAAGCCAACGGTTTACCCACCAATGACATCCTACGCGTCGTTGATGAACCAGAATGTTGCTGGAATTTTTGAATGTTTTAAAACTTTGCAAAATTTGCAAAATTTATAGACGGGATATTTTGGTGTGCACTAATTTATGGATAGATCGTAATGAGGAAAGTATGAAAAATGAAAACTTTTCTAGCAAATCAATAAGCAATGATTTAACCACACGGTTCCAATTAATTAGGTAGAGATTGATTAATTAAGATTTTTTTAGCGTTATATTTCATATGTTATCTTGAATGAATTTAAAAGTTATCATTTTCAAAAAATTTCTTCATGTTTTTTTCCAAAATTTTAAATATTTAAAAGTTCATCAAAAAAATGTACATGAGGGAATGATTGCGCAGATATATTATGCTAAGCGGAATAAAATTTTGCATAAAAATTAAAAAAAGT